ACAGCGCAGGAGGGGAAGACCCTCTATGAGGTGGATTGATTCAGTGACTGGGGTAATCGGGATGGGTGTGTTGGAGGCAATGAGATTGGCACAGGATAGAGCAGGCTTTAGGGCTGTTGTACGTAGGGTCACTATGAGTCACAAACGACGGCACATAACAACAACAACAACATCTACATGGGATCAAATTGACCACAGAAACTTAAAGAATGAGATAGGCACCTTAGGGGGCAACAGATTGATGCTAATGGGGAGGAAAACTCAAAAGAGGAGGGTGAAACCACAGTCAAATGGACTGAGAAATTGTGGTACATTCACAAGATGGAATAGCATGCAGCATGCAGGAGCACTGAGAGGGACTAGATGGAGTACATTATGCTTTGTGAACTAACTCAATCCCATAAGGACAAATACTGTCTAAGACCATTATTGTAAAAATAGAAAGATAACTAGTAAAATGGGTAAGAGGATGTGGGGGAGGAGGAGAGCAGAGGCGTGAGGACGGGCGGGGGTAATCATAGGGTCGCACAATTTGATGGGAAGAGGGAGGAATGGGACAGATTTGGTGTGAAAAACAACATATATGAACTTTGTACGCAAGCCAGTATAAAATAAAAATTTATATTTATCTTAAAAAAAAGGATAGTGAGAAGAGTTATCCAACTTGAATGTCATCAGTACCACTAAATGGTACATGTAGAAACTGTTAAGTTGGTGTATCTTTTGCCATACACAGTTCCAACAATAATAAAACTCAGAGAGAATATGTCAGGGTAATAGTTTTGGACCATCTTCCAGTCTTAATAAATCCAGTAAGTCCATTTTTTTGTTAAGAATTTGAGGTTCTGTTCCACATTTAGCTCCCATTTCACCAGGATCCATCGAGAGTGGCCCTGATCAGAATGGTTGGTAGGAGTTGCTGGGCACCATCTAGCTTGTGTCTCAAGGTAGATGAAGCCGTGGTTCATGTAGATTACGGTCCTGTAGACTAGTTTATTCTCTCTCTCTCTCTCTTTTTATTTCAATGAACATCTACAGAGATTTTGGAATTCCATTCATTCATTGTTGCACTTTTCTCCCCTCCCACCCCACTCCCACCCCCGTTCGCTCCTCTCCTTGAAAAGCAAAACTCCTTCATTGGTACACAATCCCCCGTGCACACCCTCCAACCCTACCCCCACCCCAAATATAATCCACTCTGCAACCCTCATTCCATATTCTTATGATAAACATAATGCCCTAAAATATAATACTTTTAAACTATTCTCTCCCTCATAGACTTCAATGCAGTAAACATAATTTATCCAGTTTTTCTCAGTCTTACCCCCACCCGGATGTCAGCCTCATTCTACAACAGTGGCCCTATATAGCATTTGTCCCTTTGTGACTGAGATATTTCACCCAGCATCATGTCCTCCAGAATCACCCATTTTGAATAATATTGCATGAGTTCCTTGTTTTTCAATGCAGCATAGTATTCCATTGTGTGAATATACCACAGCTTCTCTTCCCATTCGTCTGTTGATGGGCACTTAGTATTGTTTCCAACTCCTTGCTATTGTGAACAAGGCCGCGATAAACATGGGTGTGCATATATCTACTTGGATGTCGTTTATGGTCTCTTTAGGGTATATTCCCAGTAGTAGAATTGCTGGGTCAAATAGTATCTCTATTTGCAACTTTTTGAGAAAGTGCCACACCACCTTCCACAGTGATTGCACCATTTTACATTCACACCAACAGTGAATAAGGGTTCCAGTCTCTCCACAACCTATTTATTCTCTAAGTCTTCAGTTTCTCTCTTCCTCTTCTCTTCTTCCAGATGAGTAGAGACCCCCTACTAGCAAGCTGTTAAGGAACCTTGTTGGCCTAGTGTATAAAGCATTGTAAGGGTGACTCTTAGCACTTTCTCCTTTTGCCCACCCGCACTTCCCTTACTCCTGACCCAAGAATCCCGGTAACCAAAGACAAACTCCTCCGTCCTGCATGGCCTGTCCTCCAGCTGAGCCTTGGGTCAATTTTGTCATCATTGGCTGATCAGACCCTGTACCTTGGACAGAGACCTCGGGGCCTAACAGTGCCATAAGATACCCCCTCTGAATGAGCACATCACGTGGGCCTTAACCATCTGAGCCAGGTCACTGTCCTTCCAAATCTGGTCTCAGTCAAGTATATGACTGACTCTACCTACACTGGGTGGTATCTTTTGATCTGAGTTGATTCAGGTGCCTGTTACAACTGATACTGTGCAGGCCCAAGACACTTGTCCCCTGGACCAATGGAAGTTAGAGGAAGACTAATAATCACCATAGAAACCACAGTGAGAACCTCCACGGTAACAGGCTCTGTGTTTAGGGATTTGCTTTTCCCTATCTTTGAGGCAAGTGCTTATTCTTGCTGTTCAGATGAGGACTTTGAGGCTAACGGGGCGAAGTGACTCACACAAGATCACCCAGCAATCTAGTGGCGGTGTCAGGACTCAAGCCCATGCTCGGAACCCTGGATCCCCTGCCTTGTCTCCCTCCCACCAGGCTTTTTGACCAAGTGCATTCAACTCTACGAGACCACGGTGGTGCGGCACGGTCTGATGCTCGTCGGGCCCACGGGCTCCGGAAAGAGTAAAGTGAGTGGGGCCCTGGGGGCAGCCAGAGCCCTAGACAGAGAGCCCAAGGGATGGGGCACCTTCAAAGGGGCCTAGACCTCCATTTGTGCCTCTAGAATACCCCTCCAGCCCACTGTACTCCCAACCCCCACCCTACTCCATCCTTGAGAAGCAAGGAGGCTCACTCTCAGGCCTTTATCTCTAGTGTTACAAAGTCCTGGCAGATGCCATGACGTCACTGAAAGGCCAGCCGTCCATCAGTGGTGGTGTGTACGAGGCCGTCAGCTACTATGTGCTCAACCCCAAGTCCATCACGATGGGCCAGCTCTACGGAGAGTTTGACCTGCTCACCCATGAGTGGTGAGTGGCACACACACCTCGCTAGGGGCTGCCCTCCTCCAGGGTCTCGGGGGGTTGTGGGCTGTGCTCCCTTTCCCCCCTTTAGTCCAGGGGAAGGTTGGAGGGTGGGCCCAAGTACCTGGAATCATCTGGACCACCTCTTCACTTTGCAACTTCCTCACCCTCATGCCTCACTGGGGATAAAAATCCCACCATTACTAGGAGAAGGGGAAAAATGAGGTTAACAATTGGAAAGCGGCTGAACACCAGCATGCAGTAAGCGCTCAGTAAATGCTGGCTGTTGTCATGACCCCGAGAGTCCGGGGACCCCTCCCAGGGTCTCTGCTCCCAGGCTCAGGTGTGTATTTTAGGGAGTGGGAGCTGAACCGGGAAGAAGGACATAGTGCTGGGACTACTTCCCACCCCCAGGCCCACAGTGTGAGGCTCGGCAAGTCATGTGGTCTATCCTAGCCTCAGTTTGTCCAGAAAGAAAGTGTGGGTCATGGGAATATTTAATTTTGCATAACCTTGCTCAGAGTGGATGCTGTGGGAAGACAGTTGCCACCATCCCGGGCTCAAGAGGCACCAGAAGGGCTGAGATGCACGGTTCCATGGGGCTGGGACGGGGCTATCCGGCCACAGCAGAGAGCGGCCTCTGGAAGAAGCTGAAAGAGCAGTGACCCACTGCTGACCACATTTGTCTCTGAACACAGGCTGCGGTGAATGGGCCTTTCTCTCTGCTTTTATTCTCTGCTTCTCTTTGCAATCCCCCACAAAGAAATTGCTTTTTTCTTGAGGAACTCTATCTTGATGTATCAGGTAAGACATTTCCATAACTCAACAAGTCAAATATCTCTTTCAAGCCTGGTCTTTGAAGGAGCAGGGACCCCCCTCCACCAGTGTCTCCCTGCCCTAGCCCCCTCTGGGGAGCTGCTTTATCTGTTAGAAACCCTGTCAGTTTCTGCCCACAGAGGAGGAGGACCCCCCTCCCATGCTTGCTTTGTCTCCCTGCTTTTCTACCATAGAACCATGTGACCGTTTCTGGCTTATCAGTACATTCAGAGCCTCCACGACTTGAAAATATTTTGTTTGTTTTATTTTTTAAACTTCGTTGCAACGCCAAACCATAGTAGTTTCATTTCCCTTCTGATACAGCTTTCTATTTTCCTGGAGTAAATAATTCTGTTTCATATATGCTCAGCTTTCTATGTAAGCTGGTTTCCCCAAAAGCTGCCTGAAACTGTAAAAGTCCCACTGCGCTCTGGGGCCACACCCTCCAGCTCTTGTAAACCATTCTCCCGGCCATTGGTCAGCTGTCAGCCTGCCCTTGTCCTTCCCTGTCATCAGGAGAACTCTCTTTGCCTCTTTCCTGGCTGAATTTCCATTTCTTTTACCCTCAGTCTTCCTCTTTCTTGGTCTGTACCCTTGGTTGGAAGTGCTCATTCTCTAGAAGGTTCCTGTAAAAGATGCCTAGAGGGAAATTCTCGAGCCCTCTGGAAGCATCTTTATTCTCCCCTTGTGAGTGCTTGGTTATCTGGCTGGATATGGAAGTCTTGGTTGAATGTATTTTCCTTAGAGAATTCGTGAAGGCTTTGCTACGCTGACTTCCGGTGTCTGACATTTAGAATGCCAATAGGACTTGTTTTCTTATTTCTAAAAGCTTCCAGAGCCCCTCTTTGTGCTAGTATGATGACATTCCTTGACGTTCCCTTGTGTGGCTGCTCCTGTTATTGTTAATAAAGTCGCTGAGTCCTTTTCAGATTGGCAGTTGGGAAGCTATGGCCCTTGGGCCAAATCCAGCCTTCCACCTGTTTTCAAAAGTAAAAATTTGGGGCAGCATGGTCATGCCTATTCGTTTGTGTATTCTTGTGGCTCCTATCACACATTCCAGTGGCAGAGCTGAGTCGTTGTTTGTATATTCATTGGGCAGACCCCATTAGGTGTGGTGTAGGATTGGTTGTAATCTCCACAGAAGCACATTTCCAAAACGAATGCTTCCTTAGTACCACTGTGTGGGCTCAAACAGGCAACCTTTCCATTCCCAGCCAGTCACACTGTGCCACTTAGGAACCTGAGGGTTGAGTAGCTGTAATAAAGATCATAGGGCATCCAAAGCCTAAAGGAGCTATTATCTGGACCTTGGGGCAATGATAGTTCACACTGATTTAGACACTTGAGTTCTACAATCCTAAGATGTTTTCTTCACTAATGTCTTTGATGATGTCCTTATTCTGTCTCCTCTGGTCTGTCTTTCTGGAATACCTATTAACCAGACGTTAGGCATTCTGGATTGACCCTTTAATTTTGTTTCCTATTGTCCATCCCTGGGTGTGATTTTGTACAACTTTCTGAAATATTTTATTAGCTTGCTCTTCTAACTCTTTGATTAATTAATCTTTAGGTTATTTACGTCCCCCCCCCACCCTGACTTTTTTTGTCTGTTTGAGTTTCCACGTTCCTGCTGGAGGTTCTTCTCAGTGGTCTAGTCATCCTGACTGTGTAGAATGACTAGTTGGAAGCCCTGAGTGAATGGGTGGAAGAGGTTTGCCGTGTGGTTAGATTCGCCAACTGGAAGGCGACCCCTTCAGATGTCAGCACCTGGGATCTCTTCTCTAGGGCTAGAATCTGTTCCTCCAAAGACGAAGTCTCCAGTTTCCTATTGGGAGTGTCCCCTGGGCCCAGGGTCCTGGAAAAGCAGTGGGAGATGGGGAGGTGGACAGGGGACCCTCCCGCCTTTCTGTGTGTGGACCCTGCATGACTTTTCTCATTTCTAGTGGAGGGCCCGTCCCACTTCTCCAGGCTCCTGTGTGGACAGGTAGGGGCCTGGGGGTCAGACCAGCGGCACGTGTCCTCACATCCTTTCCCTGGCACCTGGTGCCTCTGATGCCTGAGCATTCTTGGACTCTGTGATAGGAACCATTTGCCTCTCACAGTTCACTCCATCCCCCACTCTCTCTGCCGTGTCAGTTGTTCCCCCTCCATCAACTCTTCTCATCTTCCAGAAGTGTGTGAGCCTCCGTGCCTTCGCCTCAATTTCCTTTTTCTTTCAGAAATGCCACCTTTTAATCTTCCTTTTATGTATTTTTAATGGGGTTTTAGCAGGAAAGGGATTGTAGCGTACCATGTCCACCAATAAGTCCTGAGGTTTATTTTTCCTATTGCCATTTAAAAATGAATGACAATGCTGACGGAATCGGGGTCTCCTCAGCACCCCACCCCCCACCCCCGCCCCGGTGCCTGCAGGACAGATGGGATCTTTCCCTCCCTCATCCGGATGGGAGTCATCGCGACCGACACCAACAAGAAGTGGTACATGTTTGACGGGCCAGTGGACGCCGTCTGGATTGAGAACATGAACACGGTGCTGGACGACAACAAGAAGCTGTGCCTCAGCTCCGGGGAGATCATCAAGCTCACAGAGGTGTGTTCACCGCCCGCTTACCCAGCAAATGACGGGTGTCCAGGGTCCAAACCTCAGGCCAACCCATCCCTCTCTCCCGGGGCCGTAACTCTCGGGCAGTCCTCATTCCACACCCAGCGCCCAGCCAGCTGGGGTCGGGGTGTACCGAGGCTCCTAGTGCCCTGAGTTCTCTTACTTTCACTGTGAAAGCTGCCCTGTGCCACCCCTTAGGTAGGCCTATTTCCTGTGAGGCCCCAAACTCAGGCCAGGCAGACAGTCTCACCTCCTTCCAGCGGTCTTACCTCCCTCGGGCTGGCTCTGCTCCATGGCAGCCAGACCCACTTTCAGCATCTCAGCCCGTGGGCAGGCATCCCCTCTGGTTCTGGCAGCATGCCTGGGGTCTGGGAATGGCTGAGACAGACATAACTGCAGCATCTATCTGGTGTATGAGAGGCAGGGCTCAAGGAATGGGCCTTCCCTTGCTCCTGAGAAGGGTTTTCCATGTCTGTACTGAGCTGCGCTCTTGAGTCTTGAGAACAAGTAGAAGTTGTTGTGAAACCAGGGTCTGTGTTCACAAGTGCAGGGCTCTGTAGCAGAGGACACTTTCTCCTCTGGTTTCCTCAGGGATCTGGAGCCCCAGAATGCCCTTCCCCCGGCACTGGCGGCCAGAGAGTGCCCAGTTATCTCTTGACTCTGGGACCTCAAGGCTCCAGGGGAGGCCACATTGTTAGCTTGGGCCTCCCTTGCCACCACTGTCCCTGCCATGTGGCCTGCTTGAAGACCTCTGGCTCTGTGACCTCCCCTGGCCCCTCGGCTGACAGCCAGCCCACTCACCTGCCTCATCTTGGCGCTAGGCGATGACCATGATGTTTGAGGTGCAGGACCTGGCAGTGGCCTCGCCGGCTACCGTGTCCCGCTGCGGCATGGTGTACCTGGAGCCCAGCATCCTGGGACTCATGCCTTTTGTCCATTGCTGGCTGAAGAAGCTCCCTCCCTTTCTGAAGCCCCACGAGGAGCACTTCAAGAGCCTCTTTGACAGGTTCCTCGAGGTAAGTAAGCCCAGGTGGGGCAGCAGCACAGTGGTCACCAGCCAGAAAAGCTGACCACGGTCGGGGCTGCCCCCTGCAGGAATCCATCTCCTTTGTTCGGCTCTCCGTGAAGGAGGTGATCACTTCGACCAACAGCAACCTGACCATGAGCTTCCTCAAACTGCTTGAGTGCTTCTTCAAGCCCTTCCTGCCCAGAGAGGTACAGCCCTGACCCCTGCTGCTGGAGGCCTGGCCCCTCCTGCCCCTCCTTCCTGCCCTCTTTAACCTGGGAGATCTGAGCTCCCTAGAAGAATTGGGTTGGCTCAGCGAGGGTCCTGGGTCCCAACCATGTTCTATGGTGCATGGGCAGGGCCTCCAGGACCCAGCCATCCCAGGGAAGTCTTAGAAATGGGACCTCTGGGCTCTGGACAGCCATGCAGCGTCTACCACAAGAAGGTGAAGGGCGGAGCGGGGGGGGATAAAACCCCAAGCATGTGGTGGAGGGTGAGGTATGTCCTCCCTGGCTTCTTTAGGACAGGTCCGTGCTATTCCTGTGTGTCTGAGTTACCTAGCGGTGCTGTAACAAACTCCACGGCCGTAGCTTTGTTTTGCTGTCAGGTGCCAGCGAGTCAGCTGTGACTCACAGTAACCCTCTGAGCAGCAGATCTGAAACCTTGCCCATCCTGTGCCACTGTCTCTGACATGCTTGAGCCCACTGTTACGTTCACTGTGTCCGTCCATCTGGCTGGGGTCTTCCTGTCCTTCTCTGATCCTCCACCTTTTGCCGCATGATGTCCTTTTCCAAGGACTGGACCCTCCTGACAACATGCCCGACGTATGTGAGGTGAAGTTTCACCAGCCTTGCCTCTGGGGAGCTTTGTTGTTAGGGAAAGTCAAGTCAGAACCGACCCATAGCTGACCCTCCAGCGAGTTTTCAGAGGCAACAAAATCATACGGGAGGAGAGTGCCCATCTGCCTCCCATGGAGCAGCAGGTGGATTTGAACTGCACACCCGTGGATTAGCAGTGCAGCTCCTTACCGCTAGGCTACCAGAGCTCCCGAAGAACATGTATTTGTTTTCTCACGGCTCAAGTGGCCAGAACCCAAATTCAGAATGTGGCTTGAGGGGGAGGTCCTTCCTTTTTATTTCAGTCCCTAGTAACCAGTATCTTGTATGTGCATCTCCTTTGTGATCAGAGAATCTGCCCTCCCCTGCTTCTCACCCCCTCCACGTGCTCATTCACTTCTGAGTCTGCTTTTCGTTTGATCACTCAGGAGTGACTCTGTGTAGTAGAGCCCTGACCGGTGCAGCCTTGTTAAAATAATAAAGGGATTGCATCCACAGGTATAGGGTTCAGACCTGTATCTTGTTGTAGTGTACCGTGAAGTTGGAACCAAGCCATAGCTGACCCTCAGCAGGTTTTCAGAGGCTGTAAAGTGCACGGTAGGGGACTGCCCATCCTTCTCCCATGGAGCAGCTGGTGAATTCAAACCACATGCCTGTGGGACTGCAGTGCAGCTTCTTCTTTTTTCCCCCCTCTTAGTGTGTGTGTGTGTGTGTGTGTGTGTACCATCAAATTGGATCTCCACCTTCTCCTGCAGAACATCTGGTGGATTTGAACCATAGACCTCTGGGATTGCAGCACAGCTTCTTACCCTTGGCCACCAGAACGCCAACCAGATCTTATGGGCACAAGATTCACTCTTTATCACCGCCTTGACCTGATGTGACTCCTCCATCTCCAGGGTCACAAGAAAATAGCCCCTGAAAAGCTGAATCGCATCCCGGAGCTGATCGAGCCCTGGTTCTTCTTCTCCCTGGTCTGGAGCGTGGGAGCCACAGGGGACAGCGCAAGCCGCACTAGCTTCAGCCACTGGCTGAAGAATAAGATGAGCATTCAAAATGTGAGACCACTCGCGTCAGGCCTGGGCTCTTGAGAGGTGGGGTGCAGTCATCTGGAGCCATCCGAAGGGCCCAGGCTGCTGGGGACAAGCCCGAGAGAAGGGACTGGGACCACTCAAACCTCTAGGGCCCCACTGTTGAGTCTGCCTCCCACCTTCTAGCAACTGACCATGCACTTCCCGGAAGAGGGGCTGGTGTACGATTACAGACTGGACGACGCTGGCATCAGCAACACCAATGAAGACGAAGAAGAAGAGGAGGAGAGTAGTAGGAAACAGGTGGCCACAGGCCTGCCCCAATGGGATGGGACAGGGAGGACCCCACCGGGTTCAAGCTGTTCTCCTTGATAAAAAATGACGAGAGAGAGGGGGCCACATCATCAGCCTCCAGTCTCGGACTGAGAAGGGGCCACTCTCTGCATCATCTCATGACTGCACGGCCCCACCAGGTGGTATTGTGCACAATTTCCTGACCAAGAAGACAGGCTCAGGATGGTCCCTCCCAGCTGGTCATTGGCATGTGAATCAGAGTGCCCCTCTTTCCACCATGCCCATGACCCCTCTGTTTGACCCTGGATCTGTCTAGACTTGACCATGTCAGTTACATTCAAATTCCAATTAGTCCACTTGCTAAGACTCCCAGCGATCAGGGTCAAGTCCTTGGTGGTCCTCCTTGATATCCCCATCCCTATCATCCAGAAAGGGCTCTATGAGCTAATCCATGTTCCGGGTTCAGGACTCCATCCGAGGAGAAGGGAGGCAGAGAGGTATCTGTGGACCCCTGTGCAGCATCCTGGATGAGAGGCTCGGAATCGTCCCCAGTGGAATACATTAGCTCAGCTATTGAAGGAGGTCCGCAGGCAGGGATGGTTGGACTGGGTGACCTCCAGACACCCAGGACCAATGCCCTGGCTCTGCTGCCCACACCCCTTAGGTAGCCTGAAGTCAAATAGCAAAGAACTTTGCACTCTGGGTATTCCAATCCCCAGAGCGCCTTTTCCAGGGACTTTCTGTCCTGAGGGGAGCCCAGGCAGCTGTGTGGAAGGTGCCCTCCTTTCCTGGCAGTTTGTGCTGGGAGCTGGGCACGAGCCTCCTATTTCTGGCAGAAGCTGCTTCTCACTTGGGCACTCTTGCCTACTGGTGCCCTTGGCAGCCGGGGTCCCAGCCAGGGATGGGGCGGACAGGGACTCCCCCTCCCTCCTGAGACACCTGTGTTCCCAGGTCACCTGGGTGAAGTGGATGGACCACTCAACTCCGTTCACCATGGTTCCCGACACCAACTACTGTGACATCATCGTGCCCACCATGGACACAGTGCAGATGTCCTACCTGCTGGGCATGCTACTCACCAACCACAAGCCTGTGCGTAGCCCCGCCCCACCTCACCCACTCCATGGTGGGGGGGGGAGGTGGACCAGCCCCTAGGATGAAGCGTCCATGAAAGTGCTCGCCCTCCCAGGTGCTGTGCATCGGGCCCACAGGTACAGGGAAGACCGTTACCATCTCTGACAAGCTCCTCAAGAACCTGCCGCTGGATTACATCAGCCACTTCCTCACCTTCTCTGCCCGCACCTCGGCCAACCAGACCCAGGACCTCATCGACAGCAAGCTGGACAAGAGGCAAGGCACCCTCCTTCTTCTCAACCCCGACATCCCCCCTCAGTCCTCTTGAACCTGCTACCATCTCAGCCTTCACCCACATTTGCCAGAAAGCTCCTACAGGATGCTGGCAGCTGCATAATGGGTCCAGGGTCCCCTGTACCTACAGATTGTACAAGAGATTCAATGGGGACTCACCCTGGGGACCTGGGTCAGAGGAGGGTGGAGGTGGAGGGCCATCTTGGAGAAGTCTGGAAGGAAAGACTGTGACTTAGCCCACCCTGATGTCCCCAAACCAATTTGTGTTGGAGAAAGTACAACCAGAATGTTCCTTGGAGGCAAAGGTGGTGAGACGTCATCTCAACTGCTTTGGGCTTGTTGTCAGAGGGGCCAGTCCTTGGGGAAAGATAGCATGACGGGAAAGGGGGAGAGAGGGTCAGAGAAAGAGAGGAAGCCCCTCGGTGAGACAGATTGACACAGTGACTGTAACAATGGGCTTGAGCATGGCAGCCATTGTCGGGGTGGTAATAGGGCAGGGTTCCCATCTGTTGTTTGTAGGCTCACTGTGAGTTAAAGTTGGCTTGAAGACGCCTAACAACAATAACAAGGGTGTCCAGGGTGTTCAGGGCCAAAGGGCTGGTCAAGAGGTCTAGCAATTTAGTTTAGGCTGACATTCAGGAGGTGGATCTGCCATCTGGGTACCCCAGGATTCAGAGGGTCTGTGTCTGCGGGTAGTGGGCTCACACAGCCCCTTCCTGTAGGAGGAAGGGTGTGTTTGGGCCACCTCTGGGACGAAACTTCATCTTCTTCATTGATGACCTGAATATGCCAGCCTTGGAGACGTACGGTGCCCAGCCGCCCATCGAGCTGTTGCGCCAGTGGATGGACCATGGCGGCTGGTATGACCGCAAGACCATCGGTGCGTATGGCTAGGCCAGGCCAGGCAGTGGGATGTGGACATGCCGGGCAGGGCCAGACATGGAAACCACCCATCTTTCTCCGAGCGGCTCACGGCCTCGTGACTGCTCACCATTCAGTTAGCAGCACAGCATGTGATGCGTGAGCTCCTTTCATGCCATTGTTTGTGCCATCGAGTCAGAACCAATGCCTCGCTGATGTACCAGTGAGTTTTCAGAGGCAGTAAATCTCAGGAGGAGATTGCCCATCTTTCTCCTGCAGAGCAGCGAGGATTCAAACCGCAAGCCTTTAAGTTGGCAGTGCAGCTCCCTGCCACTAGGCCACCAGAATCCCCTTTTATGCCGATGGTCACAAAATAGCCTTTGTTGAGAGGAGAAGGCCTATGATGGCAAAAGTGCTCGAGGCTCCTAAAAGTCACTGTGTAGCCCTGAGTTGGGGCTCTCCTGATTGCCTTCCCTAAACCCCACTTCAGGAGCCTTCAAGCATCTGGTGGACATCAACTTTGTCGGTGCCATGGGGCCCCCAGGTGGGGGCAGGAACCCCATCACCCCACGACTGACTCGCCATTTCAACTACCTGTCCTTCACCGAGATGGACGAGGTCAGCAAGAAGCGCATCTTCTCCACCATCCTTAGCAGTTGGATGAGTGAGTGTGGGCCGGGGCTGGGGGGGTTGGGCACGCACAGAAGTTCAGATCAACTATGCCAAGGGCCGCTGTCAGAAAGGATGGAATTGCTGAACGCCTGACCTCAATCCTAGCCTCTCCCCTTACTCAGTTTATGAATCTCTCAGAACTTAAAATTTCGTCATCTGTAAAATGGGTGATAATATTGGTACCCACTCATCACCCCAAGTTGTGAGGGCAGAGCATCCAGCATGGTGCCTAGCAGCTGGTGATCGGTGAACAATGACATACACGTGTATCATGAGTTGCAATCAATTTAACAGCCTCTACCCCTACATGGCTCAAAATCAGGAAAGGAGTATACCAGGGGTGCATCATCTCCACACTTTTTCACTTTGTATGAGGAACAGATCTTCTGGGAGACTGGGATCTATGAGGAGGAATGTGGCATCAGAATTGGAGGAAGACTAATCAACAACTTGAGTTACGCTGATGACACAACCTGCTTGTCAAAACTGAGGAGGACCTGAGGCATTTGCTGCAGAAGGTCAAGGACTGCAGCCTTCAATATGGATTGAAGTTCAACATCAAGAAAACAAAGATTCTCACCACTGGGCCAACTGGCAACATCATGATAGATGGTGATGAGATTGTTAATAGCTTCAGCTTGCTTGGCTCCACAATCAACACTTTTGGTGCCAGCAGTCAAGAAATCAAAAGAAAAATTGCATTGGGAAAATCTGCTGTCAGGGACCTCTCTAGAGTACTGAAGAGCAATGATGTCAGTCTAGAGCCTAAGGTGAACCTGATCCAGGCCATGATCTTTGCAATTATTTGCTATGCATCAGAGAGCTTCCAGTAACTAAGGATGACAGAAGAAGAATCAATGCCTTTGAGTTGTGGTGCTGGAGAAGAGTATTGAACATACCATGGACTGCTAAGAGAACAAAGAGGTTCATCCTAGAAAGAGTGAAACCAGGCTGCTCCTTGGAGACAAGGATTTTGAAGCTTTGTCTGACATTCTCTAGGCATGTTGCAAGGAGGGACCAGTCCTTGGAGAGAGACATCATGCTTCGTAGGTAGAGGGCCAACGCAAGAATGGAAGACTCTAGATGAGATGGATTGACTCAGTGACTGGGGTCCTGGGAGTAGGTGTGTCAGAGGCAATGATGTTGGCTCCAGATAGAGTAGGGTTAAGAGCTATAGTACACAGGGTCACTATGAGTTACAAGCGACCTGACAGCACATAACTCTAACAGCAATAAGAGTACTCTACATAAATACACGTAGTTGTCAGTACTTGTCCACAAACATTGGTGGAAAGGCATTATTTTTTTAAATTAGGGAAAGCTGTTAAGGTGGGATGGATAAAGTAGTTCTGACCTTCCATAAATTTAGGGAAAAGTTTGCTCCAGGATGATGTTTGCCCCAAGTCCTTCACCCACCCAACATACACCTGACCCTTGAACTCCATTTAGCACTGAGCCAGGAAATGTGGGATGGGGACCAGCCTTTCCATCTTTTCACCTGGCCTGACCTGACCTAACCTGACCAGAAACTGTTGACTGGGGCTTGTGTGCCTGTCTACCTCTGAGAGGTGGAAGTTGGCTACAAGGGAGCTTCCCAGCTGGGGATACACAGCCAAAGTGGGCTGTGAGGGGGGCCCATTTAACAACAAGCATTTTGTCTCTCCCTCAACCCTCCAGATGGACTCCTTGGAGAAAAGAGTTACCGAGAGCCTGTGCGTAAGTGAGGCCGGGGCGGGACCAAAGAGCACCTAACTGCACGAGGAAGGGATGCTGGTTTCAGGGAAAGGCCAGGGCTCCAGCTGGGTGTGGCTGAGGGTGGACACCAGGGTGCTCAAGTTCATTTGGAGACCTCAGGCCACTGGGTCCCAGAATGCACCTTTACCCATCTCAACACATTGGCGAGCTAAGTCCTCAAGTAAGGAGTATGTCTTAGTCATCTAGTGCGGCTGTAACAAAATACCAAAGTGGATTGACTTTGCAGAACAGAAATTCATTTCCTCACAATTTAGGAAGGCCGGAAGTCCAAATTCAGGGTGTCAGCTCTAGATGAAGAAGGCTTGCTCTCTCTCTCTTGCTCTCTCTGGTTGAGGGAGGGGGAAATTATTATTTTTTTTCTTTCTTTTCCACTTTTATTCCTCTTAGCACTTACCTTGTCTCGTCTCTGCCTGTTGACTGGCTGGCTGGTTTATCTGCTCTTTCATATCTCAAAAGATATTAATCGAAGACTTTCCCTACAATCCTCAATCATGAACATAACAAAGAAAACCCATTTCTAAGTAGGATTATAAGCATGGGTACAGACGGTAGGCTTTACACATATGTGCAGAGAGCAATTGTAATTGTTTCAGAGAGGGCGAGGAGGGTGAGAGATTCCTCACCCTGAAGATGAAGGTGACTTTTGAGAAGTAGTTCAATCCAAGCATGCAGGTAGTGGGTGGGGGATACCCAGAGGAGAACTCAGCCCCAGCAAAGGTGATGGATGCAGGTAGGAGTGGGGGTGAGAGGCTGCAGAGGGTGCTCAGGGACTCCCTTCTGGATGACGTTGGTCCATTGTCCCCTCTGACAGCCGGAGCCCCCGACATTGCCCACCTCACGGACTCTGTCGTGGAGGCCACCACCATGGTGTACTCCACCATCACCTCCCAGCTGCTGCCCACGCCAGCCAAGTCCCATTACACCTTCAACCTCCGGGACCTGTCCAAGGTCTTCCAGGGCATGCTCATGGCTGAGGCGGCCAAGGTCGAGGTGAGGATCTGGCTGCACTCACGCCAATATAGCCCATACTACGCACAGTCCTTCAGGCCCCATGTGTCTCAGGCTCCTCGGTCCCCCACACCCCACCCCTGCCCTGAGAAGACTGCACAGCTGAGACCCACACTGCTCAAACCCATGCCCAGAATGATGGCTGCAGTGGGGTCAAAAAGGAGAGAGCTTGGGGAGGTGAGGAAGGAAGGGGTGGGGCCTGGTGGAAGCCCTGTTTGCACAAAGATTTGGAAGAGAGAGTGGGTGCTTCTGGGAATCAAACGCGCTCGGGTAGAAGGAGCTGGAAGGGTAGCAGGGAGTAAGAAGGTCGCGGTGCTTAGCAGGACTGTGACGGGAGGGGGCATTGAAGTTCAGACTTTAGCCTGAGATTAACAGGGAGTCACTCCCCATAGAGTGGGGAACGCAGGCCACCTGGAGGCAAGAGATGAGTCTGTGTGTAAGAACCGAGGCCAGGAGAGTGTAGGCAGAACAGAAGCTGGCCTTGCAGAGCTTGTAGCTAAAGGAGTTGAGAACAGGCCGGCTCTCACCCTGGGAGACACAAGGTGTAAAGAGAATCGAGGCATCTCTCCTGGGCTTGGGTCGTGGGATAATGTGGGAAACATGGGAGAAGTGAAGACTTGAGAAGTTCATGACCAGTGAGTGGAGTCAGGAGGTGGAGAGGCCCCAGCCAGCCAGCAGGTGCACCACCAGGGAGCCCCCCAGCCACCTCTATCCCTGGCACCTCAGGAGGTGGCCAAGGGCTCCAGGCGTGGACAGGCACTGATGTGGGGTGGGGTGTCGCAGGACACGATACAGCTGCTTCGCCTGTGGTACCACGAGAACTGCCGTGTGTTCCGTGATCGGCTGGTGAACGACGAGGACCGCAAGTGGTTCGACCACCTCCTTGAGAAGCAAATGGAGCGGTGGGATGTGGCCTTCAACATGGTCTGCCCTTTCCAGCCCATCCTCTACGGGGACTTCATGTCACCGGGCTCTGACATCAAGTCCTACAAGCTCATCATCAGCGAGAAGAAGGTGGGAGGGGGCGGGACTTCCATGGGGTCCCAGGTTATACACCCTGTTACCTACCCCTGATGGGATCCTTCTCACTCTGCTTGCCCTGAGTCCCAAGTCCTGTGAAGCCACTTCGACAGACCACCACATTGTCACATGCATCTCCCTCAGGGTCCCCTCTCTTCACCTGTCACATGTATGTAACAGACCTTGTTCAGCTCACCCTGAGAACAGGGTTCAGCTGATGTGGCCCTGAAAATGGGGTCATGTGGTGCACATGTGAGGGGTTATCTCACCCAGAGAGGAGACAGGAGAGTCCTTGGGGGTATAGTCTCAATCCCATGAGGACTTCCAGGGGCTCAGGATGAGATCTTGGTATGTATTCTTCCCTGGCACACAGGTTACCTCCAAGCTACAGGGATGAGAGAGGCTTTCTATCTGCTGTTCTCCACAAACGTCCCAGGAGCGCCCTTTGTGGTTCCTGGTTGGAACCTGGTCGCAGTGTGCTTGGCAGAGGCTGAACTTTCCAGCCCTTGCCTGCCACATGCTAGCCTCCGAAGGCCCACATCCCTCCATGCTTAGGAGAAGCAAGGCTGCCTGGGAGGAGGGGGTGGAGCACGGTGCGAAGGGATTGAAGGGGACCCAGCTCTCTCCGCCATGCCCACCTCTAGATGATGCAGGTGATTGAGGAGTACATGGAGGACTACAACCAGATCAACACAGCCAAGCTGAAGCTCGTCCTCTTCATGGACGCCATGAGCCACATCTGCCGCATCAGCCGCACTCTGCGTCAGGCGCTGGGCAACGCGCTCCTGCTGGGCGTGGGCGGCAGCGGCCGCAGCTCCCTCACACGCCTGGCCTCGCACATGTGAGGGTCCAGGCGCAGCGGGTGGCAGGTGGCCCTTTGTCTGTCTGATCCATGCTTTTCCACAGTGGGGCAGCTCCACTAAGTCTCCTGGAAGGTCAAGGAATGCATCAGCAATGTCCTGGGGTTCTGTGAGGAGGGAGTTGTAGCTATGGTCTTGCAGGAAGGGTTCCTAGGAAAAGTGACCTACCACTGGCCTGGTCCTGGAATCAGAGATAGGAGGGTGGAAGGGGCGGGCTTTCAGGCTAAGGGAAGATTCACACGGTCTGGAGGCAAGAGAGCAGACTGGAACTTGGGGAGTCTGCAAGGCTCTCTGGGGTGGGGGCAAGACTCCAGCTCGCTGAGTTAGGATATGGTGACTCACCAGTCCCTCGGGTCAGGGCCAAGCTTTTGACACAACCCACCCACATCTCTGCTCCCAGGGCTGAGTACGAGTGCTTCCAGATTGAGCTGTCCAAGAACTACGGCATCACCGAATGGCGTGACGACGTCAAGAAGGTCCTACTCAAGGCTGGCCAGCAGAGTCTGCCCATCACCTTCTTGTTCTCCGACACCCAGGTGCCGCCACAGGCAGGGGCAGGATTGAGGGGGCCTGGATACTACCCCACTCCAACCTGACATCTAGGAAAGGGGTCTAGTCTCCATGCCCAGGTCACATCAACCTGGTGGACCTCAGGAGGGAACATTGAGGCCAAACAGGGCCACAGATGGGTAGTTTAGGGAAATGGGGTCAAACTCAAACCTCTCAGGCCACCAGAGTTCCCTAATGACTATTGTTGTTATTACTAAGTAATAATAATAACAGATATATTATTAAAAAGAACTGTATGACATAAAAACCAATGACATTATGAAATTATAATGACTGTTTTTACTATTCTTAAATAATAATATCAAATATTTTAATGATATTATTATATGAGCTATTATGAAGATGGCATAGCATAGGACAGGATACAGATTTGTTGTTCACAGGGTCACTATGAGGGCACCTAACAACAACAACATAAGGGGATCCAGTGAGACCTTGATTGTGACGTCCAACACACTCAAGAACCATCATCAAGTCTTGGCTCACCGGCCTCTCTGTCCTCCTCAGATCAAGAGCGAGTCCTTTCTGGAGGACATCAACAACATCCTGAACTCCGGCGACATTCCTAACCTGTACTCCGTGGATGAGCAGGACCAGATCCTCAACACCATGCGGCCGCTTGTCCAGGAGCAGGGCCTGCAGCCCACCAAGGCCAATCTCATGGCTGCCTATACCCGGCGTGTGCGCAGTAACATCCACATGGTGCTATGTATGAGGTACCGCTGGCAGAGCCAGGCATGGGAGGCTGACCTTGGGCTGGCGTGGACTGGCATGGGAGGCTGACCTTGGGCTGGTGTGGACTGGCATGGGAGGCTGACCTTGGGCTGGCGTGGACTGTCATGGGAGGCTGACCTTGGGCCGGCGTGGACTGGCATGGGAGGCTGACCTTGGACCATCATGGATTAGGATTGGAGGCTGACCTTGGGCCGGCATGGACTGGCATGGGAGGCTGACCTTGGGCCGGCATGGACTGGCATGGGAGGCTGACCTTGGGCCACCATCGACTGGCATGGGAAGCTGACCTTGGGCTGGCAGGGGTGAACACGGGAGGCTGATACTGGGCCAACAGGGATGGGCATAGGGGGCTGATCCTGGACCAACAGGGGTGGAGATGAAGGGCTGACCCTGGGCCTGCAGAGATGGCCATGGGAGGCTGACCATGAGCAGCAAGGATGGACACAGGGGGCTGATCCTGCACCAGCAGGGATGGGGATAAAAACTGACCCTGACTGGCAGTGTCAGACATGGGGAGCTCACTCTGAGCAGGTAGGGATTGACCTGGGGGCTGACCCTTGGTTGTTGGGCTTGGAATGAGATGTGGCTCTAGGCCTGGCCACCATGGCATTGTGTCCCAGCTGCTGTGTCCCAGCTGCTGTGTCCCAGCTGCCATGTCCCAGCTGCCATGTACCAGCTGCTGTGTACCAGCTGCGATGCTCTTGGCATGTTCATCCGCACTGTGAGCATTCCCGGGAGGTGTAAGTCAGTGTCTCTGAGCCTCACTGGGAACCCTGGTCCCCCAGCCCCATTGGAGAAGTCTTCCGAGCTCGGCTGAGGCAGTTCCCCTCCTTGGTCAACTGCTGTACCATTGACTGGTTTAGCGCGTGGCCGGCAGAGGCACTCGAGTCTGTGGCCAACACATTCCTGAACGAGATCCCAGAACTGGAGGCCAGTAAAGAAGTGATAAATGGACTGGTAGGTGTCCTGGTGAGGAAAAAGCTTACAAGTTGGGAGCTGCTTAGTTTCAAGCATCTCAGGGTCCCCAAGGCCTGAGCAAGTTATGTGCTTAAGTCTCCGCTTCCTCCTCTGTGAAATATAGAGTGACTTGAGCTAGCATGATGTCACAGGATGCTGTGCACACAGTTCCATGGATGCTATTCTTCTTATCTCCTAAGGGCTCCATGGTAGCTTGCTGAAAAGAGCTCCCTCAATATGAATGAAGCGATGGGGATGGGAAGAGAGTTGTCTGACCCAACTTGAGAGAGGTGGTCACTTGGGGGTTAAGAGGCAGGTTGAGTGTGGTGTTCACCTGCCCACCTGTGCTGAGGCCTTGAACCTCTTACCCTCAAGATCCAGCCTCTGAGGAGGCACTGCTCTAGGGCTGTCAGAGAGAAGCAGGGCATGTGGGCTGTGACAAGGGCACAGCTCTGCCCTTGAAAGGTGTGACTTTGAGCAAGTCTTCTCAGGGACTTGCAATTTTCAACTACAAAGTACGCAGTCTTGATGTGGAAGCTGTGAGGGTCATAGGAGAGAGTGAGTGGGAGGGTGTTGAAGTCCCTGCACTTGGCTTCCTCCTTGGGATCAGGCTACAGTGGCGTCAAGGAGTGCTGCCAGAACCCCACCTTTCCTGGGGTGCTAAGTGGTCAGCCTCAGTGATCTCTCCACCTTTCAGATTCAGGTATGTGTGAGTATCCACCAGTCAGTGGCCATCAAGTGTACTGAATACCTCGCCGAACTGTCCCGTCACAACTACGTGACCCCCAAGAGCTACCTGGAGCTGCTCAATATTTTCTCCATCCTCATCGGGCAGAAGAAGCAGGAGCTGAAAACCGCCAAGGACCGCATGAAGAGTGGCCTCGACAAGGTAGGCCTTGGGGAAAGGTGGACCCTGTGATTTGGCCAGCTTGGTTTCACCCCTGACACCAGAGCAACCCGCCTGATCTTTCTCCCTGCAGCCATTTTTAAATGGATGGCTTCCTTGCTTGTCAATGAGCAAAAGCTAATGGCCAAAGGCAAGGTCACCCAGAGTGTCTCAGGGACGATGCCCCCACTTCTCTGGGGTAATGGGGTGCCTAGAGCTGTGAGCCACTGCCAGCCACTCAAGAGTGAGGCTAGGTTTGCAGGGCCCCCGCACTGTCCCCCCAAGGCCCAGCTCGCTCTCCAGCGCCCGTCCATGCCTGCTTTCCCCTCTGTGTCCCAACCCCAGCTGCTGCGCACGGCTGAGGACGTGGCCAAGATGCAAGAGGACCTAGAGATCATGCGCCCCCTGCTGGAAGAGGCTGCCAAGGACACCATGCTCACCATGGAGCAGATCAAGGTTTGGGATGCTCCCAATCCCCTCTTGGCCGTCTAACTCTGTCTGAGGAACCTTGGTGCCCCAACTCAACCCCAGGCCAGTTGCTGCCTGAGCTCCACAAGCTGTCCAATCTGTCTGCACCCCACTTTCCTTTTTCAGTAGTCATCTGTTCCTTCAACATATGCCTGCTTACAATCTACATGATGTCTAGGGCTGGATGGGAAGCACACAGCACCAGGCAGAGAACACAGTGAAGACAAGACAGAGGAACCCAGACACATCTAGTGGTCACTACATGAACAGAGTGGCAGGGCCTCTCTGCACAAAGTTGCCAGGCATGAGGGCGTTGTATGGAGGCCATCCACAAAGTAGGCACCATAGACTTATGAGCACATAGAATTGTTTTCTTGCAGAACAAACCACATCTTGCTCTTCAAAATCAGTGCCCTGCAAAATCCCAGGAGATGGAAAGAAAATTACTAAGAGGGGTCCCTTTTTCTGTTTTGTGCAAAGGCACTGTGGACCCAGATGCCCAGCCTAATGGATGGGGGTCCATGCTCCAGTGTATATACACTCCCTGAGCCTAGGGACCAGGTCAAAGTGTATGGAAGGGACTGTGACATTCTGGATGCCCTGTCCCAGCTAAAAGAGCCCTTAGGGAACAGGCCAACTCAACCTTTGTTTAATCTGGGGAGACTGCGGCAAGGAGGGGAAATGGAACCAGCATATAACTGTCCATGCCACTGGCCCCCAGAGCTACCCAACTGGTCTTTCTCTGCCTCCCATCCCCAGGCGGACACAACCATTGCTGAAGAGACCCGGAACTCAGTGCAGGCAGAGGAGACCAAAGCCAACGAGAAGGCCAGGAAGGCCCACGCCATTGCTGATGATGCCCAGAAGGATCTGGATGAGGCGCTGCCAGCCCTGGATGCTGCCCTGGCCAGCCTACGGAACCTCAACAAGAATGACGTGACTGAGGTGGGCAACCTGGCTTCTCTTGGCTTCAGCCTTCAACTTGGCTTCACCCTTGTACTCCCCTTTCTCAAGTGCCCTCTGCAGTCATAGCCCTTTCATTTGTTTTTTTTTCTTTTCTATAATTATATTTTATTAATTTTCATAAACATTT